AGTGCCGCCAGATGAACCGGCACAAGATGGGTTACGTTCGACAGATTGGTCGCTTGAGTGCCATTTTCCACGAAGCGAAAGATGTTGTAGGCCGTGCCCGAGCAGAAATCCACAATCATGTGCACAACAGATGCACGGTTGGCCGGCCCATCTATCATGCGCCTCGTGGACGCGTATGGCATCTGGACGATCAATGCTACCAGCTCTACCGCAGTGCAGTCATTGAGTTGCATGCCTGCGACAACTGCGCAAGCTTCTATGTGACCCCGTACATCCATGACATGAACAACACCACCCTGGCCCAAGACATGGACAACTTCATGGCGAATGGGCTTGCTGATGAAGATCCCGAAGTGCTGGCCGAAGCTTCAGCGATTCTGGATGATGAAGCTCGCCTTCGCGCTGCCGGAGTTCCTGATGAAGAGGTACGAATGGCGATGCAAGCGCGCGCTTCAAGCAGTTCTGGCGTGTGACGCCATTTTCTTTTTTTTGTCTTTTGTATGCCACTGATCCGAAGTGATCACTGAAGTCCGAAGGGGGCTTATACAAAGAACATTTCCCTGTGTCAAGTTTGCATCCGCATCCTTCTCACTTTGCCTTTTCACATGTCATTTGCCATCCCCGCGGCTGTTTAACATCACAGTGGCGGGACGATTGCGCCATAGCGACTACGCCTGGCAACGCCTTTCGAAAAGGTGCTGCAGTGCTGACAGGCACTTGGATAGGTGGGGACTTCGTGGGCCTTGCACCGCAATCTTTACAATTATTATTATTATTATTATTATATATATATATACATATATATACATATATATATATACTACACATATTTGGGTTGCAGTTGAACTCAGGAAATTTACTTCACCGAAGAACGTCTCTGTCCTGAGTTTGTGTGTCCTCCACAAGAGCCACGAAGTGCTGGAGCTTCTGCTGACCGCCAGGGCCGATCCGAGTCAACGGGATGGGAACGGCAACACACCGGTGATTTATAGCGCTTTCAGCAATGATGGCGCAGGAGCCAAGCTACTCTGTGATTTCAAGGCTGATCCCAGGCTTCCCAACATGTTTGGCTTTAACTGTATGGACTTGGCTTTCAGCCAAGGAGCCAGTGATGTTGCCACAGCACTGTGGAGCTATGCCAGCCGTGGCCACTGTTTGCTTCATTGGGCCATGCTTTTGAATGGTGGAGACCCCGACTTTGTATCCATGGTGGTAGAAAAGGGATCTGAGCTGAATTATCTGAATTCGCAGTTCCACGCAGCCAGTCTTGAAGCTCGGAGTTGGTTGATTTGAGATCTCAACGACCGATTGTTTGGTTGACAGTTTCCCATTGTTTCCCTTGCATCTTCACCTTGTGCTTCATCAGGGCATGTCGATCATGTCGTCTCAATCCAAGGAACACAAACTTCTATTCGGGCTGTTTCGAATGAAGTACCGCCTTGGAAGTAGGTCTGTGATGAGCAGAGCATCATATCATCACAGTGGTGCTACTCCACTGATGCTTAGCATCATCACGGGCAAGTTCTGTGCTGCTCGCATCCTCTTGCGCGCAGGGGCTCGGGTGGACCTTTGAAATGCCAGAGCCTTGAACTTCGAAAGCAAGTTTTCTCTCTGTTTTGAAGTGCATGACAATGATATTTTGGTTATCCTACAACAAACTTCATGTCTGGGGTATGGTCTTGTTCATAAATTTATAATATATTTATTATATTTGATTTATTGTCGAACTACCAAGATTACCAAGTGGTCGAATTGAACATCGAGATACATTGGACATGTTTCATGAGAAGGTTTGCCTCAGAATTTCAAGATGTTACCCAGCAGTCACAGTTGTCCCATGTTGTCCCCGTCACAGCAGGAAATTTGAGCGCCTTCGATTTCGCGATAGAGATGCAGGCACCAGACGCCCTCTTTCGCGAGCTGATCAGGTGTGGTGCCGACAAGTACGCGCGTCTCTCCTCGATCCCCTCGATCCCCTCGATCTCCGACAAGATCGCGGTCGAAGTGGATTCAGTCGATGAGGAAATAGTAAGCGTCCAGTTTTGAAACGCCAGCGTCGTCAAGCGACCTCTGCCAAAAATGGCGTTTCCAACTTGATTTTGCATAGCTTTGCATAGCTTTGTATAGCTTTGCATAGCTTTGCTGGAAGCCCATCAAAACATATCAAAACAATGGTTGAGCCTTGTTGTCCCTCTTGTTGTCCCTCGTGGGTTGTCGAACAATTCTAAAATCCTAGGGAAAACAATGGTGGTTCCAGCAGCCAGCATGCAGCCAGCAACAACAATTAAACAGTGGTGGAAGGTTAGGGTTTGTACAGGGGCCGCGATCTCGGTGTGCTCATCCGCATTTGCTGAGAGCAGGCAGAAGTGATTTAAGAGATTTTGCAAGGCAATTGCAAAAATGCCAGAGCACATATCATTTCGAGATGATCGCATTTCAACCTCAACTCAATGTGCTTCATGCATGTAGTATACATACATGACATGACATGACATACCATTCCATTCCATTCCATTCCATTCCACTACATTCCATTCCATTCCATTCCATTCCATTCCATTCCATTACATATACAGTACACACACATATATATATAGTACTACTATGTACTACTCAGGTTTAGTATAGTACTACATTACATTACATATATTATATATTATATATGTATTAACATTATTTATTGTAGTACTATAGTACCATTTATTATATATATAGTACTACATTAATCATATATAGTATGTATACCCTCAGGTTCTCCGAAAAGGTGGAGCTGCGAACCTTCGGGCGGCGCATTCCATTTGGACTCTCAGGCCCTGGGTCGCAGGACGCCAGGGCGACGTGCGGCGACGCGCTTGGGCCTCCCGGTTGACGTCACTGGTAGTTTTCGATATGGTAAATCTATGGTAAATCTATGGTGTTTACCCATGTTAGCCACTGGTAAATCTATGGTAAATCTATGGTGTTTACCCATGTTAGCCACTGGTAAATCTATGGTAAATCTATGGTAAACCCGTGTTAGCCACTGGTAAATCTATGGTAAATCTATGGTAAATCTATGGTAAATCTATGGTAAATCTATGGTAAATCTATGGTAAATCTATGGTAAATCTATGGTAAACCCATGTTAGCCACTGGTAAATCTATGGTAAATCTATGGTAAATCTATGGTAAATCTATGGTAAACCCATGTTAGCCACTGGTAAATCTATGGTAAATCTATGGTAAATCTATGGTAAATCTATGGTAAACCCATGTAAATCTATGGTAAATCTATGGTAAATCTATGGTAAATCTATGGTAAATCTATGGTAAATCTATGGTAAATCTATGGTAAACCCATGTTAGCCACTGGTAAATCTATGGTAAATCTATGGTAAATCTATGGTAAATCTATGGTAAATCTATGGTAAACCCATGTTAGCCGCTGGTAAATCTATGGTAAATCTATGGTAAATCTATGGTAAATCTATGGTAAATCTATGGTAAATCTATGGTAAATCTATGGTAAATCTATGGTAAACCCATGTTAGCCACTGGTAAATCTATGGTAAATCTATGGTAAATCTATGGTAAATCTATGGTAAATCTATGGTAAATCTATGGTAAACCCATGTTAGCCACTGGTAAATCTATGGTAAATCTATGGTAAATCTATGGTAAATCTATGGTAAACCCATGTTAGCCACTGGTAAATCTATGGTAAATCTATGGTAAATCTATGGTAAATCTATGGGTAAATCCATGTAAATCTATGGTAAATCTATGGTAAATCTATGGTAAATCTATGGTAAATCTATGGTAAATCTATGGTAAATCTATGGTAAACCCATGTTAGCCACTGGTAAATCTATGGTAAATCTATGGTAAATCTATGGTAAATCTATGGTAAATCTATGGTAAATCTATGGTAAACCCATGTTAGCCACTGGTAAATCTATGGTAAATCTATGGTAAATCTATGGTAAATCTATGGTAAACCCATGTTATGGTAAATCTATGGTAAATCTATGGTAAATCTATGGTAAATCTATGGTAAACCCATGTAAATCTATGGTAAATCTATGGTAAATCTATGGTAAATCTATGGTAAATCTATGGTAAATCTATGGTAAATCTATGGTAAACCATGTTAGCCACTGGTAAATCCTATGGTAAATCTATGGTAAATCTATGGTAAATCTATGGTAAATCTATGGTAAATCTATGGTAAATCTATGGTAAATCTATGGTAAATCTATGGTAAATCTATGGTAAACCCATGTTAGCCATCTGGTAAATCTATGGTAAATCTATGGTAAATCTATGGTAAATCTATGGTAAATCTATGGTAAATCTATGGTAAACCCATGTTAGCCACTGGTAAATCTATGGTAAATCTATGGTAAATCTATGGTAAATCTATGGTAAATCTATGGTAAATCTATGGTAAATCTATGGTCATCAATAATCAACCATATATTTTTTCATGTGGGTAAAACAATGCCATAAACCAGCCATTTTCCTGGGAATGGTATATATACCACCTATAAAAATGGTGATTTTCCTGGGGGATTGTTTATTAATATTATTATTTTGGCCACATGATCTCAGGAAAACCTTGACCAATTGTAGGATTTTAGGGACCTTTATATATCGTTTTTAGCCGAAAAAACAGACTGAAAATGTTGGGAAAATGGCCAGGGATATCCCTTTGAACATCAATATCTGCACGGTATTTGAGGTTAGCTATGTCTTGACTTGGGTGTATTATACAGTTAGTTTACGGTACTTTTTTTCGTAATCCCAACATTGGGGGACATGGCCAGCAAACTCTGGTGACTAACGCTGGTATCCTGGGCCATTTATATAAGGCTCCACCTTGACCTTTATACGAACTGACCATATCCCAACACCATGCTGGGTCGCTGGGTAGGGGGAAGTCACCACTGATACTTCAAATGGCTCGTTTAGGCTTAGTGAATCAGTGATGGTCACTGCATGTCTCCGAAGCCACCGAAGCCATGCTTTGCGACGAGCTGCAGATGCCCATGCAACAGTATCAGCCGACTCCTCGTGCTGTCAAGTGTCGCAGGTGAGGTTTTTTCAAAAATACATGGCACGCAGGTGCCGCAGGTGGGTCCCCAAAGGATAGTTTCTATCAATTTCCATCAAGATCGCAGGGATTATTAATATGATTACAGTAACTTTTCGATCTTTTTGGGGACAGCTGTTTCAGAAGTTTTTTCACCGGTCATGAACCAATCTGGGCATTTTGAAAGAAACACTGAGCAGCAACATTTGCAACTACCAGATTGAATCGACAGCACGGCAGCACCAACAGCAGAAATGCAGCAGCACTCCACGAGGAAAATGTCAAAAACAGGAAATAGCAGGGCCAAACCCAAGACAATAGGCAGCAGTGGCACCCAAGAAGCACCTCAAAGGGCAAGAAAGTTAATCCAACGTAGATGAAATTGACAGTCTGGTGTGGAATGATGAACCACATCATAATTTAGGGTTTTGCTTCTGAGTCTGAGACAAGACATTGTAGATACATTACTTATATAGCGCAGATAACATATCATGTGCACCACTGAAAAAATAGCATCGGACGCCCGATTACTACCAAGGACAAATTCTCAATACAAAACCCTTCTCTCAACAACTTTTCAGATGGTGCGGAACCCGTGGAATGTGTTAGAAACATGCATTTGTGTGAGCAATGTCAACCCTGCCGAACAAACCCTTGCTTGATGAGTTTAGCGGGCAGCCATTTCTGCTATTTTTTTGAACTGATCAGTCAAATTAGAGCTTTGAATCATCAACTCGACTTCGCAGAGCGTTATCAAATATCAACTGGTTGGTGGTTTCAAACATGACTGGATTATTTTCCATGTCATATATGGGATATCATCCCAACCCCATTGACGAACTCATCTTTTTCAAGATGGGCACATTGCACCACCAACCAGATAGGATTCCAGAGCGATCCATCATTTTAAATCCGCGGAGGTTGGAGACCTGGGAAGAGTTCATGGACCCCGAATCGCAGGAGTCGCCCGATGATCTCATCGCACGATTCTTGATCCGCGGAGTGCCCTATCCGCCCTATCCGCCCTATCCTAACCTAGAGCCGTGAGTCAAAATTTACTTTGGCAGAGGATCTAAGATGATTTCGACATGGAATGCTATGGATATACGGGTAAAACATTGAAAACTACAGATATTTCGGCATTTTGTGGGAGGAAACCATCCAATAAATATACATAAATATATCATGTATCTAATTTTGGAACCACATTTACCGATAGGGGATCAAGGCACGTTGTGGTGGGTTTATGATTGAGCGCAGTAGAAAATCGGATGTCGCCTGCGCACTTGCAAGCCTCAGATTCGGATGTTGCAAGCCTCACTTGTTCACAGTTCAGGTGCTGCGAAGCCTGGGGAGGGTCAAATTGAGGCAGGAAACTCAAGAAAACCAACCTGGGTGTGTCTGAAAATACAGTATACCCCCAAATAGCTATTTTGATAGAGAAAATGATGATAATCCAGTGGATTTAGGGCTACACTATTTTCAGACAAACCAACCTTTTGCTGGTCATTCTTTGGGTTTCAGGGTGGTAAAGCCATAAAAATACACCGCATCAAACCGTACGATACCATACCGCAACCGTCCGACAGTGGGGTTTATTGCTGGGTTTTCCAAATTATTGGCTGTCAGAATCGAAATGCTTTTGGCAAGGCTGGTTTGAAATTGGTCTTTCAACTGCGGAGGGTGAATGAGCCTAAAGGCTCTGCGAAGATTATGAGCAGATTCGCTGTTGCAGGGTAGTTTTCGCCCTGCCTCCATTTTATCACATGGTGAGTCACAGTTGTTTTGGCCTCTGTGGTTTATTTTTTCACTTATTTTTTCATATTGTCATACTGCAGGCGAGTCTTCATCTTGGTCTGTGGCTATCCAGCAAAGGCCTCTGCCGTGGACTCTGCATTTGCAATCTACGGCCATCGAACCGCAGCTCGCCGGTGACCGATCTGGAGAACTGATAAGAGAGGGTCCTCCCCAAGGGTTTGACTAATGTTTGGCATGGAAATCCCTGAAACCTTGAATCCAATCTACTCCAATCGAATCTATAGGTTCTGAAAGCATGTCACATGGCGTTACCTCTGCGGCTACTTGCTTGAAATTCATTGTTTTCATTCAAGTGCTTCGCTAAGCCGCTAAGGTATGCTTATACCCCCACTCTGCTGCGGAGGGTGCTGATGTGATAGCTGAATTGCTTGACTCCAGAGGTTTCATTGCTGAAGGCGTTCCTCAACATGCGCATTTTCACACCACACATGGATCCTGAGGGGGTGCCTTTCAGAATCTTTTAGCAGCGATGAGTTTTTTTCGGCGTGATTTTGATGCTTAAGTCACAGCAACAGACTTCACTTTCTCACCATCGGCTGAACAGATCCACATTGTTTCAGGTTTAATTACAACATATTACAACAAAGTGTAGCAAAGGCCACCAAATACCAAGCTTCTGTCAGGCTTGTATCAGCCTGCTTTCGCCGATAACTACATTATCTCAATTATCTCCCAAGATTTTGCTTGGTCTCGGATTTTTGATCCAAATCTTGGATCAATCATCAAGCGCCATCAAGCGCCTGGAGGTGTCATTCCCTTCGCCGACTGCGCCATTCAGCTGGCCGACGAGATGAATTCGCGGCTCGGATCGATCCGGCACAACTCGCCACGGACCTCGGCGCTGCGCCGGGACAAGTACCTCCAGCAGGCGCAGTATGGGATGAAAGACGTGGTAACAAAAACTGAAATTGAAGAAACTGATAGAAACTGAGACCTATTGATGGATGTTTTTTTTGTGGATATTGTGGATATTCCCTCGAAGAATTCTGGTGACTGGAATCTGTACAACTTGGCTTGATCAAACCTTATTCCTTCGGAGATATAGAGCATGCATTTGACCTTGCGTGAAAACAAACAAATTGTACCAGGCAGTTCTACAGCGAGCCGGTCTGCCAGCAGCAGTGCAGATTGCTACTTGGCCAAAAAACCATGGTGCCCTACACTTAAGATCCAACTTAAGTGTATCCATGTTTATTGTACTTAATAGATATATATATATATGTTATATATATATAACATATATATATATAACATATATATAACATATATATATAATATATATATATATATAGCATATATATATAACATATATATAACATATATACATATATATATATATATAACATAACATATATATATAACATATATATATATATAACATATATATATATAACATATATATATATAACATATATATATAACATATATATATATAACATATATATATATATAACATATATATATAACATATATATATATATATAACATCAATATGTTATATATATATGTATAACATATATATATATAACACATATATATATATATATAGCATACAGTGACATAGGGCTTATATCCCAACCCATGGAGGTTTTGAAGAAAATCCCGACTGGTTCCCGACGTCAAATACCCTTTAGGTCACAGCGGATGTCCGTGCAGCGCAGCACTTTGCCGTGCAGTTCAGCCAAGTGGTGGTGAAACCGCGGGCCTCATCGGGTGGAGACGGCGTTTGGCTGTGCAATGACGATGATGAGTCATGACCGAAGTTTGAGCGCACCGAACAAAAACGATACCCTCTGGTAATTTAACGTAGCTATTGAAAATGGCAATTTATGGTGGATTTTCCCATGAAAAATGGTGATTTTCCATAGTTATGTTAGTTTACCAGAGAGTAAGTGGAAAAAACAACAGGCATGGGAATTATTGGGAATTGATTCCCCAGTTGCATTTCAGAACTACGTTAAGAGAGGGGGCTTGGATCCCGTCTAAAGCTGAAGAGTTTTACAAGAGTAGCTATTTTATACCAAAAAATGGGGTTGGCTTTTTAGCACTTGTAGACCAAGCAGTTGTTATGAACATCATGCTTTTTACGCACGCAATTTTGTAGAGAGGTCATTTTGGAGCAGTTTTTTCAGCTTCCAAACGGGGATGGAATTGATATATATATATTTATATTTAGGAGAATGATCATTAATGGGTTTTAATGTGGTTTAATGGGATTCAATATGGTTTAGTGGAATTTTTATATGGTTTAATGGGATTTATAACCAGCAATATATGTGATATATGGTTTTGAATTTGTCTATACTGTATACCAAATTTAAGGAGAAAATGATGAGAAACCAATGTAAACCCTGAAATTCTGGGGTACGCCATTCACATACCCAAATATAGCTGTGGGCATGGAGTGTTGTGCAACATTTTGGCCGATCGAACTATTTTGTCCATTGGTCCAAGAGGATCTGTAGTTCAGTCATCCAATCTTCTGTGGGGGAAACAGTATGATCGAGTAGTTTCTTGGTTTGTAATGGGAAGTCCCCGTATATATATATACATAGTTATATAAATATAATATGGGTATGATATCAATACCTATGAAAATACCATTTTTAGTGGGTTATTCACATCCATTCAAACATCCATTCAAATCCCAGCTATTTTCATGTGAACAAAAAAGGGGTAAAACATGGGTTTTGACACACTGCCATATGTGCTATGGTCATCCATCCAACTGGAAGCTTAATATTTTGTTGGGATATAATGGGATATAATGGGTATAGAAATCCCTCTGGATTGATATGATGATAAATTCCCAATATTATAACTGGAGGTTTAACTGGGGAAAGCATCAAACTCTTTTTTGGGGGATTTGCCAGCCATTGTCACTAAGGACATCCTCACGGCTTTTCAGCAGGAGTCGGCGGCCCGGGTTCAGGGATGGTAACTAAGGCCATGTCTGACATGGCAGAGGCTCAAGATATCTGAAGATTACAGTCTAATATCCCAAATTTGGATCACATTGCGTGAATTTTTCGTACAACACATGGCCAATTTTCTGTGGTTCCCCCAAAAATGTCTAAAACAACAGTTTCTAATAGAAGTTTTTTAATTTCAATTATAACAGTCTAAGCACAGATTCTTAATATTGTTGATTACTTCATTTTTTCAACAATATCAAAACTATGATGAAAATCATAACAGTCAAAGTATAGTTACCTCATCCATTTTTCAAAATCACAACAGTTCAAAGAATAATACCATAAAACCATAACAGCAAAATAACAAAAGCCAAAAACAGAACAATCAACAAACAACAGCAAAATCATCACTACCTACCATCAATCACCTCATTCATTTTTCACAAAATCATCCCTGCCACCTATATCATCATCTCATTCATTTTCATAAATCATAACTACTAACCATGTACTACCTCATCCATAAAAAAAATCACAACAGTCAATACATCATCACCTCATCCATTCCATACCCAAAACGGAACAACCAAACAACAAACAAAAAAAACAGACCAAGCAAAGCACAATATAAAAATCAAAACAGAGAACAACAATAAATATAAATCCATACCCTTTAATAATCCATAATAATCCTATCTTAATCATCCATAATTCTAATAAATAAATATTATTAGAAATATGTTAGTAGTAAATGTCTTCAATAATTACGAATTTAAAATGAAATGCCTGTATTCCTATTATACTATCTTTATCTTGGTCTTCTTCTATGTCGGCTTTTATTTCTTCAACTGCTTTCTCTGATAGTTCATCTACATTATCTTCATCCACATACCCATCAAAGTCATTCATAAAATAAATCTCGCGCCGCTAATTGGACTTCAATATCAAGTTTAACTCTATAATTTAAATCATCTTCTACTTCTTCATAAATTAAAGATAATAATTCTTCTTTTTCTTCTGTTTATAGAGCAGTGGGTCGCGTTTCTAAATTCTGTCTTTTGTTCGTAAGTTAATTCATCCATTGGTTTATTAACATTAATTTTTTCAAATATATCTTTCTTAATTTCAGTCAGTCGTTCTACAAACTTTTTCATACAATCCTCACCTCTGTATAAGTATGGTTGGCATGTATTACCAATCCTGCTTACTACATTCAACATATAACCACACGGTTTATGTTCTTGGTAAGTTCCTCTGGGAGCATTGCTTCCAGAGCAACTTAGGGCACCTTCGGTGCCGTAAGTTCCCTTTATTTCAGTATTAGAGTTAGTGGTTAGACATTCAAAGTCACCATAGATTACAAAAGGACAAGGCAATTTAGTATTATGCTTTTCAAATTCTATATAAGTGTCTTTATTTGGCATCTTTGTTTGTTGTCCTTCTGATGCCATACATCCTTTTTCCGGATGGTTCTTATATGCCTTTTCTGTTGAGAAAGGATTTAAACAATGATGGCAAGAATGTTTTTTTACTGTAATCCTTGTTGCTTTGACAGTTTAATAATCTGCTTTTGTTCCTAACCAAGGCGTAGTGATAATTATTGTCTTCATCATAGACCTTTAACAAATCAATCTCATACTTAGCATTTCTATTTTTGGTGCCTGTGTAATATGATTTTATTATCATTTAAGCAGTCATCAGGTTCAAAAACATTTATTGAAACCATTTTATTGTTCTCTTCAAATCTATCTATGTCCCTATTACCAGCTGGAAAATTTACACCATCCCAGTTCAAAATATCATCTTTCAGTTTATTATTATTATAGTGGAACATTTCCTCTGGGTGATGTTTGCTTATTTTGTCATAGACTACGGATTGAATACAATATTTGAAGCATTTTTGGTCTTTGTTTTTGATGTTGATACATGCCTTTTTCAGTTTAATCCATTCTGGTAGTTCTATGTATCTCCCTGCTCTTGTTGGGTCATATTTGTCACAATGAATGGTTATTGATAAAATCATTTTAAAGCGTAGATTAGAGGTTGATGCTTCTAAATTTTGTATTTGTAATAAAATTTGTTTAACACTATCTTCTAATGCTTGTGACAGTTCATCCTCATTAGTAATATTGAAGCGTGTTGATGGTAGAGCATATACAAGTTCCTGACTGCCAATTTCATTACCTCCATCATCGTATTCAGGTTTTTCAAAGAGTGCTTCTGCTCTTATGTTAAGTCTCATGCTTCTATTCTTTCTTAAAAACTCCAATAGTCTTGGTTTTTGGTGAGCAATCATTTCTAATCCCCTTTCACCTTCAAAGTGTTTATTTTCTAACACTATTGAATTAGCATATCTTCTAAATGCTGACTGAATGTCTCTGACCTTAAATTTGTTTTGTATTGCGTGTTTGGTTAGTAAGTTTTTGACTTTTCCTTCACTGAACGCATCTTTTGCCTTGTTTAAAGCATAGCTTCTGTATTCATTAGTTTTCTTTACTGTTAATAGTTTCTTTGTTAAAACATTTGATATGGGTTTGTCTTTGTTGTATCTAAATTTCTTGTTGTCTATTACTATTGATTTCAATTCTTTTCTTCCTCTTTTTGGTATTTCTGCTAAATCATTACTCAATAGATAGTCTATAATTTTTTTCATCATATAATATTATATATTTTATTTAGTTAATTTATCTTTAAGTAGGTTTTTTTTTTAATGCCTTATTCTAATCTTTGAATATATACTTAAAGAATAGTTAAGTATATTAGTAGGATGGATTGTGCGAAGGATTTACCCGTTGATGTGCTGAGTAAAATTGCTTCTTATAAAATTGGAGACCCTAAATATTTGAAAATTAAATATTGCCATGTTGAGGCATTAGAGAGAATACAAAACAAATATAAGATTTCAAGACTTGGTCCTAAAATAGCAAGACATTTGAAATCAAGAAAACAATATATATATAATTGAATACTGTATTATGAGAGAGGGAGTGCCATTTAGTTTAAAAAGTTTAGAAGACATAATAACAGAAGAAAAAGAAGAATTATTATCTTTAATTTATGAAGAAGTAGAAGATGATTTAAATTATAGAGTTAAACTTGATATTGAAGTCCAATTAGCGGCGCGAGATTTATTTTATGAATGACTTTGATGGGTATGTGGATGAAGATAATGTAGATGAACTATTAGAGAAAGCAGTTGAAGAAATAAAAGCCGACATAGAAGAAGACCAAGATAAAGATAGTATAATAGGAATACAGGCATTTCATTTTAAATTCGTAATTATTGAAGACATTTACTACTAACATATTTCTAATAATATTTATTTATTAGAATTATGGATGATTAAGATAGGATTATTAAAGGGTATGGATTTATATTTATTGTTGTTCTCTGTTTTGATTTTTATATTGTGCTTTGCTTGGTCTGTTTTTTTTGTTTGTTGTTTGGTTGTTCCGTTTTGGGTATGGAATGGATGAGGTGATGATGTATTGACTGTTGTGATTTTTTTTATGGATGAGGTAATAGATGGTTAGTAGTTATGATTTATGAAAATGAATGAGATGATGATATAGGTGGCAGGGATGATTTTGTGAAAAATGAATGAGGTGATTGATGGTAGGTAGTGATGATTTTGCTGTTGTTTGTTGATTGTTCTGTTTTTGGCTTTTGTTATTTTGCTGTTATGGTTTTATGGTATTATTCTTTGAACTGTTGTGATTTTGAAAAATGGATGAGGTAACTATACTTTGACTGTTATGATTTTCATCATAGTTTTGATATTGTTGAAAAAATGAAGTAATCAACAATATTAAGAATCTGTGCTTAGACTGTTATAATTGAAATTAAAAAACTTCTATTAGAAACTGTTGTTTTAGACATTTTTCCATGGTCACAGGCACCCAGGCGCCCCGCCCACAGGAGCTGGGAAAGAAACATCAGGAGCTTGAAACCAACACGGAACTGGTGGTGGCACAAGCCCTCACAGGCGGCGCGGGTTGCTTCAACGGTGACCGACCGACCGACTCGGACAACGTGTTCTACGCAGCCCCCAACAAGTCCGAGACCGGTTCATGTTTTCCTTTTTTTCGAATTGGGAACTGCTGTTTTTGTTTTTTTTGTTCGCTCCATTTTCAAAGCCCAAGAATGACAGAAAGACCCTCCAAGATTTCACCCAATTCTGCGCTCAGCCTGGCCTGTTTCATAACCTCAGCTGTGAGGAAGAAACGCAAGTCTTTTTTCAAAGTCAAAGAGATGATTTGAATCATTACTAATCATTGAACCTACAGTATTCCTCGCAGATTTTGAATGATTTTGATACTGAAATACTGCATTCTCCCTGAGGGATAGGATGCATCAGGTTGTAGACGTGGTATGACATGGTTGGATTATGTTGGACTCATTTCTCAGACCTGAAACAACGACTTTTATTTGGGTGCCCGCTGAATCCGAACACAGGAGAGGAGTGGGTCGTAAACACTTTGAGCCGGGATGGGGTCCACAAAGTCACAGACGCATCATGGCTGGCAGCCAGTCATGGCATCGTTTACATTTTTGATCCGCAACTCCGTTGACTTTTTTTTGTGCTTTGAGCTGGCTGGCATTTCCTCAGTCGGATGAGAAAGTGTCACGGTGCTGACAGTGCTGAGGCTTGGTATGGTCCACCCAAGTTTGTGTCTGGCGCTGGTCCACAGCACTTCGTTTACAACGTGCAATATCTTGCCGGAGAGTCACCTCGCTTCTTGGAGGTGGCTGTCAGATTGTGCAAGCCAGGGAGCCAGAGATACCTCTAAGCCAAGCACTTGGGGACCCTTGGTCATTTTTTCGACCTTTCCGGGTGCAAAAACCAACTTGAGACGCGGCCAAAGCCCTCCCAAGGATGGTTCATTGAGGGTTTACGCATGTTTACACTATCTGTGGCAATCCCCAAAAACGATAGGTGACCATAGAAACGTGAACTATCGTGAACTCCTGGTTGCTAAACATCACGTTTTTGCGGATTGTAAGGGATGAACATTGACCGGAGCAGTTCATAGCAGTTCAGTCTCATCGGATCTGACGGCTTCAACGTCAATGTACCAATTGATGCGACAACGATCTCCATATTTCGATTGAAACCAGCAATCCCAGTTTTATGCGTGCAACAATTATATTAATTTGGCTTTTGTACTTGGATGATCTTGGATGTGCACTTGTGCACTTGTGCACTTGTGCACCTACCTGCAGGTTCATAACCATGAGTACACAGTTAAACATGGGACCCTTCATGATAAATTCTAGTTTTATATGGGAAATATTGGATTATATATGGTTTACGAACCACTTTCTAAGTCACTTAATTAAGTGATCCCTTCCCATGACTAGGCAGGTAAATCCGTATGGATAAATATCTGGAGACTACACAATCTACCCGCATATGTATAACCCGCCAAGAAGATAGAACAGTACGGTGTCAAAAATAAATAAATAGATAAATAAATCAAATAAATAAATAAATAAATAAATGAATGAATGAATGAATGAATGAATGATTGAGGTTGCAATTCGCGCGGTATTTGAATTTCAAAAAAGCAGCCACTTGCAGCCACTTGCAGCCACTTGCAGCCACTCGGCCGCAAGTGGCCGCAGGTGGCCGAAGTGGCCGCAAGTGGCCGCAAGTGGCAGTCCGGAGTGCCACATTCCTCAAACTTGAAAGAAAAACAGGTGTCCCGCGAATCGCATTTTTTGCAAGTTTGCCTTGGAACGAGATCTTAAAGTTGCAACGAAAGGCAGAAAGTAACGAATAAAAAGGCCAGAGGTGAAACGAAAGGAAGACAGTAGCGCATAGAATGCCAGAGGTGAAACGAAAGGAAGACAGTTACTCATCAAAAGCCACATCGAATGAAAGGGAAGAGTTGAAACGAAAGGCCGGAACGAATAAAAGAGGTGAAGCGAAAGGAAGACAGTAACGCATCAAAAGCCACAACGAATGAAAGGGAAGAGTTGAAACGAAAGGAAGGAACGAATGAAAGGCCAGAGGTGAAACGAAAGGAAGAGAGTTACGCGTCAAAAGCCACAACGAATGAAAGGGAAGAGCTGAAACAAAAGGCAGGAACGAATAAAAGAGGTGAAACGAAAGGAAGACAGTAACGCATCAAAAGCCATAGCGAATGAAAGGGAAGAGAAGAAACGAAAGGAAGGAACGAATGAAAGGCCAGAGGTGAAACGAAAGGAAGAGAGTTACGCGCCAAAACCCACAACGAATGAAAGGGAAGAGTTGAAACGAAAGGAAGGAACGAATGAAAGGCCAGAGGTGAAATGAAAGGAAGACAGTTGCGCATCAAAAGCCGCAACGGATGAAAGGGAAGAGTTGAAACGAAAGGAAGGAAGTAACGAATGAAAGGAAAGAGATGCAACGAAAGAGTTCAAGTAACAAACGGACTGTAAGAGGTGAAACGAAGGGGAAGAAGTAACGAAACGAATTGGATTTATAACAGAGGTGAAACGTAAGGACGGACGTAACGAAATGAACGGCTTGAAATGAAGGGAAGCAGTAACGAACGGGATGTCAGAGTTGAAATGAAAGGAAGGGAAGTAACGAATGAAAGGAGAGAGTTGAAACAAAAGGAAGACAGTAACGAATGAAAGGAAAAAGTTGAAACGAAAGGAACGGCCGAACGGAAGGGAAGAGTTTAAACTTTAAACGAAAGGAAGGAAGTATAACGAATGAAAGGAAAGAGTTGCAACAGAAGAGTTCAAGTAACAAACGGGCTGTAAGAGGTGAAACGAAAGGGAAGAAGTACAGTAACGAATGGGATGTATATATAAACGAGGTGAAACGTAACAAATTTGTGGATGTCCTTTCCGTGAACCTAGGGTTTTCGAGATTGCTCATATATTATATATAACTATAAATATAAATGTCATGTATAATGATTATAAATATATATATATTATTATATATATATATTATTATTATATATATATATATATATTATATGTGGACAATGCTACATCTTAGTGGCTTTGAACCGTGCGCAGGTGGTGGAGATGGTGAAGTCCTCTCTGACAGCTCTGGGTCTTCGAGAGGGTGCAGCCCACACGGAGTCCGGGACGAAGAGGGTCCAGCGGCGATTTCACCAGTTGGGCAGGGGAGTTCCCCCCGGAAGATGGCGATTTCACCATCAAACATCAAAGTTTTTACCAGAAAAGAGATGCAGATTGTGATGGTAAGGATGTAGCAAGATTTCTGAGCAAACCTGGGGAAACCCACAAACATGGGTGGCCCAAAATTTCGTGACCCTTTGCCCAGAGTTTTTCTTGTTGCAGCGAAACATCCTTTCTTTTGGGGGACCCAGTGATTTTGAGGTGGCCAAGGCATGAAATTATGGACTCCCCAAATTTGATGCGTATGTCCCCTTCAGATGGAAAACAGCTTAAGCAGACCCCAATTCTTGAGGATTAACTTTCCTTTCGCACACGGTGTTTTTTTTTTCCATTCTGAAGTGCGCAGGAAAGGGCCCCCCAAGTTATAAATGGGGTGGGTTCATCCATCTCACTGAAGATATATATATATATATTTGCCGTACATATCCGATGAAGCAAAGGACACCGGGCCCCAACCTGGGGGCCCACACGTGCAATGCCACGATCCACCAAGGAGTTGGTGTGGGTTGAGAAACCCTACATCTACGAAGTGAACGCGCGATGTTCCGGTGGTCTACCGCGAGTTCCTCCACCAACCCAGCCTCGCGGTCGGATGTCATGGGAATTTTGGAGTTTTTGAGGACCGTTGGAACTTCAAACAGGGGCTTGTCCTAGCCATGTCTAATGGATGGGAGTGTTATCACCTAACAAGCCACCGCGTGCTTTCCAAGCCACCGCTCAGCTCCCAGATGTTCCGTTGGCCAGTCCCTCTCGATTTGGCTATGGATCAATACCTATACATACCATTTTTAGTGGGATGAACATCCATTTACCAGCTATTTTGATGTTCACCAGGGGTACAAGGTTTTGACACACTGCCATTTGATTCCAATTGAGTAATTATTGCTTTAGGAAAATCGCATTTTGCCCTTCTATCAACTTTAATTTCTCAGCACCCATGAGCCAGACACTGGAAGCTCAGGCTGGATGCGCTTGCAATGAGTCTGTTTGAAACTTGCTTAGAGAAGGGAAACGTCGAATTCTTTGATTTTCTTTCCCGTGTTTCTTGTGGGGACACCAGATGCGAACTTTGGAATTTTTGGTTTCGCGCGATTCTTGCTCCGAGGATGAGCAAACCTTTCTCAGCTTGCCTGATTGGCCATCTGGCGACATGATGAATCGCGCGGCGGTGGTTTTCCTCATATCACCCATTGCTGGATGGATAACTCAAGCTGCGCTTGAAAGCCTTGCGGCTTTGAAGACGCGCTCTGCCTGAAGTCTTTTTCTGCAAATCCAAAAATTATCCCCAGGTGGCCATGGTGGCCCCAAAACCCATAGGATCCATGTGTGGTATATATGCTAACATTGGGGGTATATTGATGGTAAATGTTACCATATATAGCATACATGGATCCTATGGGAAATGAATAGATCCAATCATCCGGAATCTAGATTTCTTGGGCATGTTCTAAGGGAGAAACCGCTCCTGTGAAACAACAGGGCTGCTGGCAATTGCTGGCAGGTTTCTTCGCTTCGAAAGGGGGTTGGCTGCATGCAGCGCACCGTTTCGATCTCTTCCAGCTGCTCGATCGCATGGGCGCCATGGGGTGGGTTTTGACCCACAGCCCATAGCCATAGCCCATTTGGATTCAAATCATTTCAAATCAATTTGGAATGGCCAGGATCAACATCATTATACATCATTATACATCATTTACATACTTCATTTATTTTCGCGTGTTTTAACGCGTGAAGCTGCACCAGGTGAGCCAGACAACAGGCTTGTTCTCTTCCCCTGGAGCAGTACTTCTAACAGGAGATGCCGCCGATGTCCTGCAGGATGTGCAGATGGTTCGCGAGGCGATTTCTGATGGGTCAGTTGATTCATCAAGACCACAAATTCCTCAACAAACAAGGGCAAATTACCATAGAAATTACCATAGAAATTACCATAGAAATTACCCTAGAAATTACCATACAAGACCACGAAAAAAGACCACTATGGTCTGTTTTTTTGGTACATTGATGTCCATTGGAAACTTCATTTTTTCGGAAAAAATCACGAAAAATGACTATGGCTTTGACCCACTCAGGTGTGTTGACCCTCAGGTGTATTGCACAACACAGCCAACTGTTTGGATCAAACGATGATCAACGCATGGATCATAGCCACGATGACAAAACCTGCGAAGCGACTGGCCGTTTTTCTCAGGTGGAAAAGACTGCCTACGTTGAAACCATCCACAAACCTCCCCTCGCCCAGTCATTGTGACCGCATTTGTGCCTGGGTGGCTAGATGGATATGGGTGCGTTTGAACATGGAGGTATACTAATGGCAATTTTGATAGAGAAAATTTCGGAAGATGATGATAAAAAAATGTAAATAAACCATGAATTTTCAGGGTAACCTATCTATTTTCAGCCAAAGCGATATCGTTTTAGATCACCGACATCTGAAAACATATCTCTTGCACGACTCAAATCCAGTGGTTCAGTACAATAGGATTGGTGAAGTGTCAACTCAGAGCAGCCCAGCCACCCCCCATTGCTGTCTGGTTTTAGCCAAAAAACCAGAAAACCATCCATCACCTGTCTATGCAGTCTATGCAGCATCTTATCATCATATCCATCACCTGTCTATGGTAGATTTCTTTAGATTGACTCAAGGACCATAGCTGCACTGGTCCTGCTGAAACACTCTGCAGATGATCATGAGACCACACGCCTTCACGCCTTGACTGGCGATTGGGCTGGCGATTCGGCGACTGATCGGTTGAGCATGGCAACGGTCCGAATGGCGAGGAGTTGTTCTCTGCTGGAGCTACATGGAAGATCACTGATGACATTTGATCAAAATATGTCTGGAAATGAAATTGACAGACCACATTGTCCCCTTCCTGAAGGATACAGAATTGTATTTGCATGTTCGCAGAGCTGCTTGTGAAATTTTGCAGAAGCTTGCGGCAGATGAGCTGGTGAGATTGAAAGACCACATTGTCCCCCTCCTCAAGCATACAGAATTGTATTTGCATGTTCGCAGAGCTGCTTGTGATTTTTGCAGAAGCTTGCGGCAGATGAGCTGGTGAGATTGAAAGACCACGTTGTCCCCCTCCTGAAGGATACAGAATTGTATTTGCATGTTCGCAGAGCTGCTTGCGAATTTTCGCAGAAGTTTGCGGCAGATGAGCTTGTGAGATTGAAAGACCACATTGTCCCCCTCCTCAAGCATACAGAATTGTATTTGCATGTTCGCAGAGCTGCTTGTGATTTTTGCAGAAGCTTGCGGCAGATGAGCTGGTGAGATTGAAAGACCACGTTGTCCCCCTCCTGAAGGATACAGAATTGTATTTGTATGTTCGCAGAGCTGCTTGCGAATTTTCGCAGAAGTTTGCGGCAGATGAGCTGGTGAGATTGAAAGACCACATTGTCCCCCTCCTCAAGCGTACAGAATTGTATTTGCATGTTCGCAGAGCTGCTTGTGATTTTTGCAGAAGCTTGCGGCAGATGAGCTGGTGAAATTGAAAGACCACATTGTCCCCCTCCTGAAGGATACAGAATTGTATTTGTATGTTCGCAGAGCTGCTTGTGAAATCTTGCAGAAGCTTGCGGCAGATGAGCTCATTGTCCCCCTTCTGAAGGATACAGATTGGGATGTTTGCAGAACTGCCTGCGAAAAGTGGGGAAAACAGATACAGTACCGGAAATGATGCATACATGGCATGCTTTTTTAAAACTTTTTTGTTTCCATCCTACTTGTGATCAATGTGCCGATCAACCAATTCAGACCATGACAGCAGCCGCCACGGCTCAAGGGCTGCGCCGAATGCGACGCTTGAGGTTCGACAATTCAAAGCTGGGCACTGCGCTCATCGCGCGCAGCAGCTCTGCTGAGGAGGTTGCAGCACGGCAGTCCGAGATTTTTTTTCTTCATCAAATGCCTTCAAGCAAATTTCCCAACATTTCCCAATGTGAATGTTGTGATTTCGAGAAGATGAGGGATGCAAATCATGATAATTTCCCAATTTTCCCAATGTTAATTTGTTAAGTTACCAATTTTCCCAATGTTAATCATGATAATTCTAAACCACGATTCTAATTATCCATGATCATTTCCATTAACCAATGGTTTTCCCAACATTTCACAATGGTTTTCGATAAGTCTAAACCATCTAAAGCATCAATCTCCATGATTTTGACTTTCACGGTCCAGGTTTTGGTCCTGGTGGCACAGAATCTCAAACGTGCCTCAGCTGGTTTCGATGCCAGAAGTTGATGGCTTATTGTAGGGGCTTGTGCTATTACCATCTGGTAATTTAACGTAGCTATTGAAAATGGCCATTAATAGTGGATTTTCCCATTATATAAAAATGGTGATTTTCCATAGCTATGTTAGTTTACCAGAGGGTACTATTTATGAATGTGTACTAGGGATGGTGATAACATGTGATAACCCATAATGCCATAATCATCAACGGGATATCGTTTTTTACGTTAAAATTGAGTATTAACCAGTATAATATACGGTTACCGTAGTATAATGAGATGAGAACTAATGGGGGACAACTAACTTTCATATTCCTGGCTCAGCCAAGCGCTGAGGCTTAGATCACATTCATTGTACAGCCTCTCTGCATGCCCTTGCGAAGCACTCCTTGACAGATGATGCGTTGGCCAAGCGAACTCTGACTGCGCTGCTCAGCAGACAACACGACTTTGCCCGTCGTGGCTGTCTGGACGGTCGGCAGCTATCGCCACTGGACGGCCCAAGTTGACATGGAGAAAATTTTTCAAAAAATCATGTCCGCAAAAAAGCCAGCGCAGCATTTCCAGTAAATTTCGCAGGAATTGGTGAACAATGGTGAGCCCATCGCCCTGTGGTTACCTCAAAAAGCTCCCAAGAAGGGCACTGTTGGATTCGGTTGGTCTCGGTGTTTTCTATTTAACTATAGTCTGTGTATACAAGTGTATATATAATACTGTATATTATATACATATGATATTATATATTATATAATATATATATATTATGGTTATATATATATACGTATATATATATATATATATATCCACAACAACCATCATTGGTGGTATTTATCTACTTCGCAGTTAGGAATACGCTCTGGGCCCTTGCTCGCTTGCGTCAGCCCGCGCTGGAAGCAATGCCAAGCGGCCTCACAAATCAGGCAGCAGCTCTGCAACGGAAAATCCTGGTTAATTTGCTGGGAGTACCCTCTGGTAATTTAACATAGCTATTGAGAATGGCTATTTATAGTGAGTTTTCCCATTAAAAATGGTGATTTTCCATAGCTATGTTAAATTACCAGAGGGTATCATCTATCAATGAGTTAACCCAGTTACTAGTGAGATTTTTGGGATGATTTGGGATGAGTGACTCACGTGAGATTTTCGGGAATGTTGCCTGTCAGACAGTCAGAGCTAGCTGTGGACACACGAAGCAGCCCGGCTGATCTTTTTTGCAAACAGCATCAGGTGGCTGCTCAACTTGCATCGTCAAAGGTGGGAGCCCCGGATTTTGATGAAGCCAATTGATTCTTGCCTGTTTCGCCGGGGCCTGCGTTCTAAAAAACCCGAATTCCCAACCTAGTTTTTCTCTTGATATTTTATCAACAGACAGTTTTAAAACGAAGTTTGAATATGTCTTTCGTAGCTGCATGGAAGCCCCTTCAGGCACAGCAGTTGAATCACCAAGACATCAGCAACGGCCTGTGGGCCATGGCAGCTCTTGATGTGGACTTAGAAGACCAGGTACCAAGGGGGGCACAAATGGAAGTTTCCTAAAGTAGGGGTACCCCCAAATCATCCAAGTCATTTGGCCATTTTAGTATTGAAACCCATGGTGACTTGGGGATACCACATGACTTAAGAAATCACCAAGTCTTTCAGCAATAGCTATGGATCAAAGCCCTGATATTTTGGTGAAACACCAAAAATTCGCTATTGTGGATGGCTGTTCATCCATCCAAATATTTCCAAAGTGCTAAGAAATATGTGATAATTATATATAGGTTTTGACCGATCGCTAAATGGGCATAGTCATTCAATGGTTTAATCCCCACTACTAGTTTCCGAGAATTGGGTCAAGGGAAAAATTGAGCGGAACGGCGCATCTTTCATGGGTGAAAAGCAGTCCTTTCCCCAAACATTTCCCTTGAACCAAGCCCAAATTCATGTTGGGTCTCACAGGATGGTGCCCCCCCCAGCTATAAGTTGGTTTATAACATTCTATAACTCCATCTAAATATGAAAAAATATACGTATCGTGATTATCGTGCACTTTCTTGTCATTTTTTCGTTATGTTCACCAACTGAACGCTAACGAACTAGGGCCCTGGGGCCCCATATGGCCCCATCCTTTTTGGGATGTCTCAGGTGAAACTGGTGAAACCAGGGTCGTTTCCTTTCAGGCTGACCTGATGTCCAGCTTGGCGTCGAGGGCCGAGGCGGCGCCCGAGGGCTTCAAAGCCCAAGAGTTGGCCAATACCATTTGGGCGCTCGCCACCTGCGGAACAGGCCCTGGAACGAAAAGGGAGATTCATGGAGCGGCAAAAACTTGGGGGATAAACATCAAATCCCTGAAAAAGGGAACTGATATCTATATCATCTATTTCTCAATCTATATACATACATTATTATATATATATACATATTATATATATATACATATTATATATATATACATATTATATATATATTGTGAAATTAACCACATGAGATCATTCAATACTTTGTCATGGACATCATTGGACACCTTTGGACTCTTGGATGACATGCCACATCAATTTTGGCCACTCCTCGCCATTGATCGCGGCTCCAGATCGAGGAGGGTGGGACTAGGGATCTTGAGTGGGAAAAGGACAAGCTGGCTTGCGGGGAGATCGGGCATCTCGGTGTAAGGTGAATATCCCCCATTGAATTCTCATTGGTAGCGGAGCTCATAGCTGCCGCAGGTAAAGCTCCTAATTCACTTAGAGTAGGCTGGGTTCCTCTCTAAGGGGTCTTGCATTTTCCCAAAGGGGTTTAAGGGTCCTTTGGTTAATTGACAACAGTGCAAGGGAAGACAACCAAGTGATCCAACAAAGGTCAAAAACTGACCACGTGAGCCATGGAAGGGGCTGGCAATGGTGCTGACCTTGGCCGAAGCCAGGCTAGACCAGCATCTCCTGCGGAAGCAGCTGGAGCTAGCACCCTGCCCGCAAGTCAGCTGCCATGGCAGCAGATCCCTGGATTCAATCCACAGGAGACTGACATTCAAGTGTACAGTCGGAAGTTGCAGTTTCTGAAGGCCATTTGGCCACCGGAACATGTGTCACAGCTAGCACCCAGGGCAGCTCTGATGGTGGAGGGTGTGGCATTTCAAAAGGTGGCAAGGCTGGATCCAGCAATTCTCAGAAGCGAAGGAGGTGTTCAGTACTTGGTAGAGGCCTTAGGTGGCCAGTGGGGCAAGCTGGCGAGCGAAGAGAAGCTGGCCTACTTTGAGAAGGCAATCTACCAGACGATTCAACGCAGCGACGAAACAAATGACAGCTACCTGGCCCGCCATGATGTGGCCTTTGAAGATCTTGCAATGCACAAGGTGCCGATGGAAGAGATCAGGGCGTATGTCTCGCTACGCCAGTCACAGCTGAGCCCGGAGGACCGAAAACGCATCATCTTGGAGAACAAGGGGGAGCTCTCATATGATGGCGCCAGAAAGGCCCTGCGCCTCTTGGGAGCCAAGTTCTTCCAGGAACTTCAAGGGGTGAAGGTCAACAAAAAGACCTATGACATCAACATCTCAGAGAGCCCTTCTGAGGAACATGCGATGGTCCTAGCTGAGGGCGATAGCCGTGATGAGGACACTGCCTTTCAGGTGCTGTATGACGAAGGTGATGAAGATGCAATCTTTGTCAACGACTTTGAAGAGACGCTCATCGAAGTGGCCCAGGAATCACCTGAACTGGCTAGCTGCTATGCCACGTACCTTGAGGCCAGGACGAGACTCAAAGAGAGAGCTCGGGTCCGAGGTTTCTGGCCTATGAGCAGCAATGGGCCCAGCAAAGGAAAAGGCAAGAAGGGGAAGTCAGGAGCCAAGGGCACCAAGTTCAGGTCTCTTGCAGATCGCATAGCCTCTTCGGCCTGTCGAAAGTGCGGACAATTTGGGCATTGGAAACGTGAATGCCCCCTCAACCTCTCGAAGGGTGACAACAAGCCCAAGATTGCCGCCGAGACCATCTCCATTGCGGAAGCACTTTTTGCGCATCCAGAAGGACCAGAAGATCAAATGCCTCCCATGGAGATGATCGAGGAGCTCCCAGACGCTGCTGAGGACTTAGGCACGTTAGGTCCAAAACAAGGGATTTCGACACCTCATGTTTTTCTAGGGTGTGATAAGTCCGAAAATTGTTTCATGGTGTGTCAGAGCAGTGATCTGAGGGAGGGGTCAAAATCAAATGGAGTAGTCGCATCACGAGGGTTTCTCACAAAGTTTAAGACAACCAATCACCAATTTAAAGGGGTGTTGCAAAATGCATTGTCCCGGTGCTGTAGGAAGCATGGACATGCTGTGACCTCGACACCGGCCGCGACACCCACTCGTGACTCAGAACCAAGGGTTCCTGAGAACTCCAGCCAGTTTTCTCCAGCCGTGATTTTAATGACGGAAGAATGTGCCGGAGAAGCCGTGATTGACACAGGTGCCAGTAGGTCTGTCATTGGAAGTGAAAGGGTCCCCGAACTTGTGAAGGCCATTTCCAACCATCTTAGGGCTCCCATTCAGAAAATGGCATCTACAGTCAATTTTCGTTTCGGCAATAGTGGCACACTCCAGAGCCAGTATGCTTTATGCATCCCACGGCGCCAAAAGGGCTGGATACGAGTGGAAGTTGTGCAGGGTCGCACCCCGTTTTTAGTATCAAATGCAGTCATGAGGGAACTTGGTGTTTTGATTGATCCCCGAAATCAAGTGTTGCGGTTTTTGAAGAGCCCCCAAACAATTCCCCTGAAAACATGCCGAAAGAATCTGCTCTGCGTAGATGTCATTGCACTGCTTGATATCACACATGAAGAAACAGCTGGAAAACATGCCGAAGAGATATATCAACATGAAGACAAACGAGAGGATGAACAAAAACAAAAGTCCAATATCCCTCCTCGAACATGCATGTCCACTCAATTAGAAGTCATTGTACAGCATCCACCTCACAGAGAGTCGTTGAAAACCACCGAGTCCGAGCAGACACAGGCTCAAGCTGAGCTGCCATCTACACCACCTTCGTGTGATCCGAGTAGACAAAGCCATGGGCACATCGAAGGAGATTCAGAACTCCTACCTGGTGCAGGATCTGTCCGGAGACGAGGACCCGGGCCTTCAGTCCAATCAGACGTACATGGACGCCCCAGGTCTTCAATATCAAGTTCCCCCAGGGATCAAGAACTTACAGCAGTGGGGCGAGATCAAGGTTCCCTCGGGCAAGCAGCAGGGTCAGACCTTTTCGGAGGTGTACGACAATCACCCCTGCTACATCTTCCAGATCCGCAACCGCAAAGCGGTATCACCATGGTTGAGGAGCCTGCAGAACTACGTGATTGCCCGCCAGAAGTACCAGATGAAACATCCGGGGCAAACTCCACTGACACAGGTGGGATACCCAAGCACGTCCCAGACATCGACACCGAAGAAATCCATGGGAGCAAAAGGGAAAGAGGAACAAGAGTGGGAAGTGATCGCCAAGACAGCAGCCCAGTCATCGAATGCCAAGAAGCCCCAGTCCGCCAAGAGATCAACAACGGCACTGGCATCACCCGACCGGGCCAAGATGACCGTGGAACCCAATGCCGAACGAGTGCAGCAAATCAAGACTCAGATTGCCCTCCTCGAAAGAGAACTGGCTCGAGAGACGCAGATTCCGGAAGAGGAAGACATTTGAAGCAAGACCCAGTACTTCTGAGCGAGGCGCAAGTCCAAGGGCTTCAAGCCCAGGTCGATCAATTCGTAGGGGTGATTGAAAAAAACTTTGCAAAAATCAGGCAAAATGCCGAAGTCTTGAATCCCCAAAGCCCACTAACCAGAGTCGGCCCGTTGTTCTTCTTGAAATTTACTGTGAAAAGGAGTCCCAACTGACTCAACAAATGAAAAGAATGGGAGGGACAGCACTTCGGTTTACACGTTTGCATGGTGATTTGTCAACCCCGGAAGGAGTCAACAAACTCTGGTCATGGGTGATGATGTATGAACCCGAACATATATGGGTTGCCCCTGAGTGCAAGTTTTGGGGATCATTTTCCAGGTTCAACATGGGTAGGAGTGTCACCACTGAAAACATGATCATGCAGGGAAGGCAAGGTGACAGGTGTCATTTGGAATTATGTAACCAACTCTATCTTTACCAGGTCGCTAATGGACGTCACTTTCACTTGGAGCAACCCAGAGGGTCAGACATGGTAAAGCAACCGCAGTTGTACGATGTATCCACAGGGACTCTTCCCGCATACTTTGACAAGTGCCAAGCTGGGAGACTGAAAGCCCCCTATTCCGAAAAGTTTTTGAGGAAACAAACTCAAGTTTTAACCACAAGTCGGATAGTTCATGCACAACTCCATCAACAGAACTGTCCTGGAAATCATGAACATCAACCTATTCAGGGGAGTGTGAAGGCAACAGGTGAACCATGGGTTAAACTTTCTGCGCATGCTGCTGCCTATACTGCCGTTTTTGCCAGAAGAGTGGTCCAGGGCATGATCAAAAGTTTGGGGTTGAGAGAAAAACCTTTGTTGTTAGAAGAGTTGTTGGTAGGGGAAGAACTGACCAAGGGGACAAAACGACCAGTGGCACAAGAAGTTTTGGAAATGCGGCGGTGTCGACGACGGCATGGGACAAAAAGTCCGCCGTTCCCAGAGGACTTAGAAGGGGACACAGTCATGGAAGTCCCAGTGGTAGATTGGAGGGGAATCATCACCAGTTTTGAGAAGGACGTTCCAAGGGTTGGTAACGCCTATTTTTGGGTTGATGATCCTCGGGTTGTTGGTTTGCAAGAATTGTTCCCTCAAATCACCATTCAACTTGTCCTGATTTGTCGCGGCACCGAAAGGTACCGAGTTCCAAGGCAAGATATCAATAGGGATGATATTCCCCTTCGCAAGACCGTTGTGGTACATCGTCAGAGCGGTGAAACTCAAGATTTGGGTGAATTTGAAGAATGGCAACAACTCCCAAAAGCAAAACAGACTCGAAAAGCAGTTCCTGCCAAGATTTCTGTGAGCATTTTTGGCAAGAGGGGTCTTATTGGTTCTTCTGGTGTTCAGGGTTTTTCCACTGAAAAAGAAGATGTTGCTATGGAGTTGCCACTCACCCAAAATGACGGACTCTCAGCTCCGAGTTCAATGGCTGTCCAGACTGATAACCAAAAACCAATAGCAGTAGAGAGTCAGCCTGCCGCAGAATCGCTCGTACCTGGATGGGCTCCAAAGATCATTCCGAGGCATGGGCCCGCTTTTAGAGCTTTGGAGCCCCAACAGAGGACTGATTTGGTTCGTCTTCATCACAATTTGGGCCATCCAGATCCTGCGAGACTGCAACGTCTCCTAATCGACCAAGGTGCTGAGCCGTCCGTAATTCAAGGAGCCCTTGACATGCAGTGTGATGTTTGTCTAGAGACCCAAAAGAAACCAAAGCTTCCTAATCCTTCGACAATTCATGATGATTTGGATTTCAACGATGTCGTAGGGGCTGATGGGGCTGACTGGAAATCACATTTGGGACAAACTTATCACTTTATGCACTTCATTGATGAAGGGACTCTTTTCCACCTTGGAGCCCCAAGCGGTAGGACGGTAGAAGAGCAAATTCGAGTTTTCGAAGATGTTTGGCTGCACTGGGCAGGTCCATGCAAGACTTTGTACCTAGACCCTGCCGGCAAATACATCAGCCCGAAATGGAATGACCGTTTACAGCAAGAAAATATCCAGGTCACCATGGCTGCTGGAGACAGCCACTGGCAGATTGGCAGGGCTGAAATCCATGGTAGGATCGTGAAGGACATGTTGACTAGGATGGATCGAGAAAAGCCTATTAGGGATGGTGAGGAGTTTAGGCATTGTTTGAGGCAAGTGTTTGCTGCCAAAAACTCCCTGTCCAGAGCCAAAGGCTTTACTCCAGAGCAGGCATTGCTGGGCAAAGCCCGAGCTCTACCGGCGTCTTTGACCGCAGACCAGCAGGCTGGGGCACACGAGCTTGCAGAGAGCTCCACACCAGAGGGAGTGCGTTTTAGGGCCAGTCTCGAGCGTAGGGAACAGGCAAGGAGAGCTTTCATTAGAGCTGATAATGATAGCTCCTGCAGGCGTGCCCTTCTCCGAAGAAGTCGTCCAGGGGCGGTCGAATTCGAAGCAGGAGACTGGGTTCTCTACTGGAAAAGGGTTAGGGGTAATTTAAGACATGAGAGGGGTCGATGGTACGGCCCGGCCCAAGTCATCACCATCGAAAAAACTAGGGTTGTGTGGCTGAGTCATGGTGGATACCTCATTCGTGCTAGCCCCCAACATTTGAGACCAGCATCCATGCGGGAGTATCATGCATTGCCCAAAGATGATCAGGGTAATGTCCGGGACGAACAGGTATCCACCAGGACTCGGAACTACATTGACTTGGATGAACTTCCACCAGTTGTTGGTTCGACTGATGATGATGATGGCTATGAGCCCTCACTTGCCCCGACACCCACAATGGAAATTGACAGTGAACAACCCGAAGATGAGGCTTCTCCCCCTGAAAGTAACTTGGGTGGTAACCCCGAAGAAGAAGACCCCGGAAATGGAGGAACAGTAGCAGTAGATGGGGATTCGGGGGGTCTTGGGATTCATGTACCTAGTTCGGATGAAGAAGGGGATGATTCTCTTGTTGTTTTCAGGGATGATTGTGAGCCACTAAGTAATTCAGGGGTATGGGAAATCACTTTAACAGAATCTCCTGAGATGCCTCTTGAAGAGGGTGTGGTAGATGGCAACTTGGCGGAGTGCATTTTGATAGCCACCACCGCAAAGAAACAGAGGGTAGAAGTCCAATGGAAGACATTAGATCATGCTGAAAAGGAACTTTTTAGGAAGGCAAAGGCAAAGGAGGTGCAGGCATGGATAGATCATGGGACAGTGAAGAAACTAGTAAAAGGGACTTTACCTGAAAATCGTATCATGCGGTGCAGGTGGATTTTGACATGGAAAGATCCGCTTCCTGGCACAACGGAAAAACGTGCCAAAGCCAGACTGGTGATTCTGGGATTTGAAGACCCAGACATTTCTTCCGTTCCCAACGACGCTCCCACTCTTAGCAAAGATGGCAAGCAGTTAATTTTGCAAAAGGTTGCTAGCTGTGGATGGACACTGCTGAACTTTGATGTTTCAACTGCTTTCTTGAAAGGAGCTGGGGATGGAAGGAGGCTTGGGATCCATCCACCACCTGAAATAGCACAGGCCCTCAGGATGACAACCATGGACCAATGCGGTCTTGAAGGCGGCGCCTATGGGCGCATCGACGCACCCTATCTGTGGTACAATTCATTTCGGGAGACCCTGGAAAATTTTGGGTTCATGGTTTGTCCACTGGACGGCTGCGTGTTCTCCCTTGTGACATCAGATGCACAAGGACGCCCAAAGGTGCGTGGAGTGCTGGGCATACATGTAGACGACGGGATCGGAGGGGGAGATGATTACTTTTTGAGTGTCATCGAACGTTTGAGGGAGAAATACTCATTTGGTGCTTTCAATACTGGGGAATTTGACTTTTGCGGTATCCACTATCGTCAATGGAGGGATGGAAGTATTGAGTTGAGTCAGAAGAAGTATGTGGAACGAATAGATCCGATCCAAGTCTGTCGACATCGTAGAAAAGAGCCCCAGTCACCAGTGACTGATGCGGAGAGACAATGTCTTCGCCAACTGTGTGGCTCGCTCCAGTACGCGGCGGTACAGATTCGGCCTGATATCAGTGCCAAGGTAGGGATTCTTCAATCACTGATACCAAAGGCTTGCATAGAGGATCTCCTTGATGCAAATAGAGTTCTGTTCGAAGCCAAGAAGAATCCAGTCACCCTTGTCATTGTTCCCATCTCAGAGAAACAGGTTTCATTTTGTGCTTTTTCCGATGCTTCTTTTGAGACGAAGAAGGGTACAGCATCAAGGCAGGGCACAATCATTTTTACCACGGATTCAAGAATGGCTCAGAACCAACTCTCAGTGATTTGTCCAATAGCTTGGTCCAGTCGTAAAATACCACGTGTCATTAGAAGCACTTTAAGTGCTGAAGCTTCTGCACTGAGTAGTACCCTGGACAGGCTAAGCTGGTTGCGCCTGATTTGGTCTTGGCTGTTAGATCCAAGCATTGACTGGACCAACCCTACCGAAGTGCTCAAAGAGTCGCAGTTGGCATCCATAGCCACGGACTGCAAGTCAGTCTTTGACTTATCCACAAAGACCTCGACTCCAGTGTGCGAGGAATTTAGGACAACTTTGGAGTGTCTTTTGATCAGAGAACGATTGACTGAGAATTGCAGACTCCGTTGGGTATGCAGCCAAGCGATGTTGGCTGACTGTCTCACGAAAATTATGGATGGGGGAACTTTACGTAAGGCATTGGCCCTCAGGAAGTATTCAATGTTTGATGAATTGGACATCTTGAGACAGAGAGCTGACAAGCGTGAAAGACTCAAATGGCTGTCAGAACAGGAGACCAAGATCCAAAAATCTCCATATGATCTCATGCAAAACATGGAAACAAGAGGTTGAAAATTTTGAGATTTTGACGAGTGTGAAATTAACCACATGAGATCATTCAATACTTTGTCATGGACATCATTGGACACCTTTGGACTCTTGGATGACATGCCACATCAATTTTGGCCACTCCTCGCCATTGATCGCGGCTCCAGATCGAGGAGGGTGGGACTAGGGATCTTGAGTGGGAAAAGGACAAGCTGGCTTGCGGGGAGATCGGGCATCTCGGTGTAAGGTGAATATCCCCCATTGAATTCTCAATATATATATATAGATGGCTTTCCATCTGTGGGTTGACCCGGCAGTGGAGAATCCTCAGGCATAGCCAGCCGAATTGCACAAAAGCTCACGGCCTATTGCGTGGTGACTCGCATCTTGTGGGAAGCTCAGCGATCTTTAGAGCTCCCTGATAGGGATGATGCTGCATCATGCTGCATTGTTAGGATCCATGCTCATTGGACGAATTGATCACCCATCCTCCGTATTATAACCAGGTATAGCTATGTATAACCCCCATTCAAATTGGATGACGCGGCGATTTACGATCCATTTTCTAACTTCATGATCTAATCAGACATATCAGACTTGACCATGGGGGTTCCTGGAAGCTTCTGGAAGGGTGTGCACCGCCCTCTCCGAGGGAGTTGGAAAGTATTCAGCTGGCTGCTATGATCTGGGCCGTTGCAGCTGCTGGTTTGGATGGACCCATTCTGAAGCCTTTCACTCAGTGGATTTTTGGAGGTTCCAAAGCCTGGCCTTCAGAGCAGGGTTTGATCGAAATTCGCCACGCGAGTTTTATCCCCAATGGCATCTTTTAGCCCCAATGGATTGGGGATTTCTTTCAGCTCCAATCGGAGCGGGCAGCGGCGCAAATCATCTTGGGAGTAGAACAGATCAATATGATCAGCCTCAAGTTTCGGAGCCATAGAAATGTGGGTACAGCATGGTAAAACCATGTAAAACGGCAAAATTGGACGGTTGCATCTGGTTGCTGTACTCCCTTTTTGGTGGCCAAAATTTACGGCAACCATTTTGATGTCCTGGAAGCTGGGGCCATGGTTACGCTAAGGTCATCACCGGCCATGGCGGGGCCACTGATGCAGCCTTTAGCAGCAGTGGTAAGACCTCATGTTCAAGACTTTGGGCCCCAAGAGGCCAACCAGTGACTTTACGTGGCCGGGCCAAGGTAAACAGCAGCTTAGAGCAACTAGAAACCCCTCCCGGATCCCAAGTCCCCAAGTCCCACCCTAATTTTAAAAGACCCTAACCCCAAGTCCCCAAGTCCCAACCTAAAAGGTTGTTTATGTACACTTTGATACCTGCACCCTGTCTCCTTGTCCCCAAGTTCCCCCCTAACCCAAAGTCCCCAAGTCCCAACCTAAAAGGTTGTTTATGTACACTTTGATACCTACTCCCTATCTCCTTGTCCCCAAGTCCCCCCCTAAACCTAAGTCCCTAAAAGGTTGTTTATGTGCACTTTGATGCCTACTCCCTATCTCCTTGTCCCCAAGTCCCCCCCTAAACCTAAGTCCCCAAGTCCCAACCTAAAAGGTTGTTTATGTACACTTTGATACCTACACCCTCTCTCCTTGTCCCCAAGTTACCCCCTAAACCCAAGTCCCCAAGTCCCAACCTAAAGGGTTGTTTATGTACACTTTGATACCTGCACCCTGTCTCCTTGTCCCCAAGTTCCCCCCTGACCCAAAGTCCCCAAGTCCCAACCTAAAAGATTGTTTATGCACACTTTGATACCTACTCCCTATCTCCTTGTCCCCAAGTCCCCCCCTAAACCTAAGTCCCTAAAAGGTTGTTTATGTGCACTTTGATGCCTACTCCCTATCTCCTTGTCCCCAAGTCCCCCCCTAAACCTAAGTCCCCAAGTCCCAACCTAAAAGGTTGTTTATGTACACTTTGATACCTACACCCTCTCTCCTTGTCCCCAAGTTACCCCCTAAACCCAAGTCCCCAAGTCCCAACCTAAAAGGTTGTTTATGTACACTTTGATACCTACACTCTGTCTCCTTGTCCCCAAGTTCCCCCCTAAACCCAAGTCCCCAAGTCCCAACCTAAAAGGTTGTTTATGTACACTTTGATACCTACACCCTGTCTCCTTGTCGCCACATCCCCCCCAAACCCAAGTCCCCAAGTCCCAACCTAAAAGTAAAAGGTTGTTTTTGTACATGAAGGTAGGTATACATGAATCTGGGCGCAAGCGAGTCGTTTTTTAAGGGGCGCAAGTGAGGCTGGTTCCCCACTTTCAGACAAACCCAGAGAGTTTGGTTGATCAAACTGCGGTCCTTGCGTGTGTAGTATGGATATGTCGTATGGCTTGCTGTGCAGACCCAAAGCATCCCAATGCCATACCCCAATGCCATGGCCGTAGCTAGTTGTGGACCTTTTGGAGGTCGCAAACGTCTCATGGGCTTTGGCGGTGGAAACCATTGATGATCCGCAACTTCGAGATGAATTGGCACTTGGCGTCCAGCGCTGCATGTATGAGTTCAAGCGGAAGGACCATGCTGTGGGGCGCTTGGAGCCCACTAAGGATTCGATGGTTATAAATAGATCACTAACATCATTGGGTAGATTCGGGTACCTGGTAAACGTTTACATAACTATAGAAAATCACCATTTTTAATGGGAAAATCAACTATTTCGACTGGGCCATTTCAATAGCTATGTTAAATTACCAGAGGGTAGATGATATGGAAGTTTGCCATGACCCACTTGCTGTTGCTGTAGGATTTTTACGGATTTGTTCCCATTTTTGCCAGGAATTGGTGAACACCCTTTGGGCTTTTGCAGTCTTTGGCAGCCCTGAAGTAGTCGACTAGGCCTCCAACACAGAAGCGGCAAACGCAGCGGCTCTGGAAGCTGAGCCGAACAGATCCCTACGAATGGGTCACAAAGAGGTGAATCTGATGGAAACTGAGCAGTTGTTACTTGTGTATCTTGTGGGCGTAGAGTTGAATGGCGTATGAGATCGTATGAGCTCAAAGAGAAGGCTTCGAGTTTTTTCATTACAAGACCTGCAGCAGGACCGATCAACGCATGGTTTCTTTGCTTCTTCAATAGTTGTTCCTTCATCATCTTGATCCCAGACCCTCTGAGTACATTTACTTTGTGGGCACAGCCTCCACTGAGGACCAGCTGTGCTCACGGGTGCTTCACATGCTTGGAAAGTAAGCAGATGGGCACAACTCGGTCGAGAGTCAAGGAGGGTTGTTACTTGGCTCTTGGCTTTTGTGGCTGTGGGGAGAGCTTAGTTTCCGTGGAGTCAATGAGTTTTCCCATGTTTTCCCACTGAGCGGCCATCATTGAATCATTGTGCAGAGGATGGTTGTGATATGTTGTGATTATGGCCTCCCAAAAGGGAGTTTTTTGTGACGTTCCATTGGATGTCCATCCAACTCTAGACAGTCAGGTATATATAATATATATTAATATATACTGTACTCATTTTGAATCTTAGTTTGCTCTTTTTTTGGCTCCATGCCCAAGTCAGCTAACCTGAGAGTCTCTCATAGTGATGTCATAGTGATGTGATGTGTAATTCAGCGTGAATGGCACCGACGAATGAGGAGCTCCAACAAATGGGAGAAATCAAGGACCAGATGAAGTTGGCCAAGGCGAACACGCGGCGACTGGGATGCGGAGGCACACTGGCAGAATTTCCCAAATTTTGGGCCAAGTGGCGTCGTCACAGTTCCTTGGCTAAGGCATCTCTTATCTTCCCTATCTTCCCTTATGACCGTGCAGTATACAACATACAACATTCTTGCAGGTTCTTGAAGAATTCAATTCCTGAAAGCACCTCAGCCCAGGAAGTTGAGGCCAAGGCCCTGCTACGGAGGGGTTGCGACTCCAAGATGTGTTGAATCTGACCAGAACGAGGCCACCAAGGAGGCGGAAGCTTGCGGAGGCATGAAGACGACCTGAAGACCAGGCGCGTCCAAAGACCAGAGGCCTGAGACGGCCCACAATGAAGGCTAGGAGGAGCGAGTCTTCGAGGAGATGGAGCTGGAGGAGCTTTGCCCGATGAAGCTTTGGCCAGGCGTGACATAGAAGCACGTGCCTTCTGGAAGAAATTGGAGGAACTTCAACGGGCTGCAGTGAGGAGTGCCCCGCTTACCGAGCATCAAGGGTTGGACAGGGCGACCCCACGACGCCAGTCGGCAGTCTTTGTTGAGCTGAAAAGCTGGAGATGGATCAGCGAAGAAAAGCCCAGCTCGGAGAATGTGCTGTGAGATCTGTGAGTGGGTTGAAGCATGTCGAAGCCAACCACGTGAAGTTGTTATCACATATTATCACTTGTTATCACTTGTACAGGTCATGCGTCCCAAGAGTGACATGCAGAATTCATCAGCACCTGCCTAAACGCTTGCGATGTTCCCCCAGGACGACGAGAACAAGAAGAAACAATGGGATGTTTCGGACAAGTTGGTGGACGAGGAATCAGTTCCCATCCGCATGGCCCCATGGAATTGGGCCCATTGGGCCCCGCCCGGCCCATCCCGGCGAAGTTTTGATCCCAAAAAATCGTTAAACCGGAACATCTACAAGGGAAGTTGACATTGGGAAGCGAACAAAAGATAACAAAAGGCGGCTTTCCTGCAAGAATTCCAGAATCGATCCATTGAAACATGTTTTTCTTCACATTGCTTCACTACCAGGAGGAGTGCCAGCTGTTGACTCTGAGTGGAGATGGAGACAACGGCACGTTTTGAGCCCTTCGGGGCTCTGGGACCTTGAGATCCCATCGTTGCACCAAATTATCATGGGAACATCAATCACAAGCTATGGCGGCTATGGATGGCTAGGTCATTTTTTGGGTCAAAACCTACGACTTAAGTATCGACTTTCCATCTTTTCATGGGGGTATCAACATGTATCAACATCATTCAACATCCACTACCAGCATCCAGCGATTTGGGCTGCACCGGTGCACCATGGTGCACCTCAACGAATTGACCGGTGATTTCGGCTCCACTGAACCAGGTCCCCTGTGCCCGGCTGCCGGACCCCTCGGATTCCGCCGAGCTTTCGAACAAGCGTCCCGAAGGTGTTCACCAAGCGTGTGACGAATGGGAGGGGCAAAGAAAGCTCCGCCCGTTTCGTCAAGATCGTCAAGTCTTAAAACAGCATTTTTCGAAACGTTTCAACAGTGCTACTCAGAACTCGGTGGTGTTCAACAGCGTCTATAAATGTTGTGGGGCAGTTAGCGATCATGTTGTGGTCGTGTAAAAACTTGACTTGCCTGCAGCATCAGGTCTCAAACACACCTGGGAGTGTGGAGACCTGCCATTTGAAAAAAAATGCAGTGACCTGGTCAGAAAGCATGTCCGACATCAGAACTCATTCCTGATTGAAATGTGCATTAATTATCATGAATGAATGTAAATGATCAAAAAAAATATCATCAATTCATATAGAGGTCTCATAGCTTGCACAGCAAAAGTTCACCGAGCAGGTTGACCAGCTTTGGCAGAGCTCCAAACACCGACGTCAGCGGTCACGCCATGCCTCCCAAAGCAGCCTCTGGGAGGAGCCAAGATACACACAGAGATAATATGTACATATTTAACCATATTTATATAGTATACATATATGTGTATACATATTATAGGTGTATATATATATATATATGGTGATCGATCTAAAGGTCCTTGTAAGGAGTTTTAATTGCGAAAGCCGTGCATGTTATGTTGGAAACCCTCGCGAGAGTTTTTTTTCGAGTTCGCGAAAGTAAAATTTTATTTCGCGAAAGTTTCGCGAAAGTTGGGTATTATAATTATTATATATGTAAAGGGCTGCCACCCACAGCCACCCGGGGTCCGGCAGGAGAAGGGCACCAGAGAATGCGAGTAGCAGTAGCCAAGTTTCCAAAAGTGAGGCTTTGCGAGAGCCAAACACCAAGGCCCCTGGTCTTTTTTCCTTCAGTGCACCCCCTGCTGATGGCCGGGGTCTGTGAATAGGGATATTTTCGCGAAAGTTCCGCGAAAGTTATGCGAAAGAGCGGGCGAAAGTCAAAGTGGATGTTGAAGGGGGTGGGCCAGTAAACTTTGCAAAAAAAAATCTGTCCTGAGAAGGGATTCCGTGATGCTAGCTGCATGTTTAAAAGGCTACCAAGAAGTGATCCGTGATTCTCTGGCGTAATTTGGCAGGTGGTGAACGAATCTTCATAAGAGGTGTTGTTGGCCAACATGGGCCCCGCGAAAGATAAACATGGAGTTCGCGAAAGTTTCGCGAAAGTAAAATTTTTATTCGCGAAGAATGGCCGTTCCGGGATAAAGGAATTTTGATCAACAACCATATATATACATACATGTAATATACATCCGTATACAAACATTGAATACATACATATATATATATATATACATATGTATAGAGATACATAGACATACAGATAGACAGACATATTGACAGACAGGAAGTGATGTCTTTCTCATTTCAAAGCATGTCAACTGCTGGCTGGACAGGCCCTGCGAAGAATGCAACGGAAAAGGCCAAGTTGTTGGACACCCAGACGCTGCGGAAGTGACCTGATCCCGATTTTTTTTCCACCTGTTAAGGAGACGACTCGGCGGAAGGAATGTGCCAACTGCGATGGCACCGGTGCTTGTGCCGCAGGTAGAGGTAACAAGGCCTGAGTTGTCAATGAATGCACATGTCTTGATGCTTGATTGAAGATGACGATTGAAGCTCCAGCAAAGATGGTTCTTTGATGGAAGAGTCGTTGTCGCTGTACTCGCTGGCAGTTCGTTTGTCCCATCTGCAATGGTGAAGGTGAAGAGGTGGGACGCATGGACAGCAAATCTAATTTGAATACATTTGAAGCAAGAAGCAATAACAAAGATGAGTCGTAAAGAATAAGACGCGCCAAGTATTGCATGTAATTACATGTAATTACATGATATCCAACTATCACCCAAGTATCTTGAGACGCTCGAGACTCGAATCTCTCATCTTTGTGTATTTTGATGCCAGTGCCAGTGGGGTCTGAGTCAGAAGCCTTCAGGACTCCCAGGACTCCCAGGACCCATGTCGACCCAACAGGTCAGTCGGGCTTCCATCAAATGCGCCGAGTGCAAGGGGAGTGGACGAAGGCCTTCCAAGGCCGCTTCCACGATCCGCGTTCAGACGAGCGGGTCGGCAGTTTTTCCGCAAACGCAGGGCTCGGACCCACAGGTCATGTGATTCATGTGCAGGTCTCTCTCGAGGGTGAGGTCCATGATTTTGACGCATGACCCATCTTGCCCAGGGTGAAGCCGCTCCCCAGGTGGTCGGCAAAGTTGAAAAGAAGGACCAAAATCTTTGAGTTTCTGCGGAAATCACGGACCATGACCATAGCAGACCGAACTAATTCAGCAACATCCAGCAACCAGATGGATCCCAAAATCAGCAGTTCTCAGGAATCAGTTGCACCTCCTGCGGGGTCGGCTGGGAACTCGAAATGAGCTCAATATAAATGTGCGCAGAGTCTGACTCAAACCGATCAGCCCGTGCTAAGCGCTCGAGCTTTAAACATTGACTCCATCTCGTGGAGAACCTCACCGAGTGGCTCAACTGCAGCTTTGATAATTCCTTCCTCTCTTGACCGCAGGTTCGAAGAGATAGCAAGCACTCCAATGAGACGTCAGAGGACTCCCCTGGTCTGCCAAATGCCACAATTTCGACGTCCGTTCGGACGTGAATTGCTCTGGTTGATGGCTTCAAATACATAATCATAAGATATCATAAGATATCATAAGATGCATTTTACTTTGTTCCATCAGTTCCATCCCCAACAAGTGGATGATGATCGCAACTTGCATAGCTTTGCATATTTTTG